CCTCAGCCCAACCGCACCTCACAGACACTTAAAGGAAGGAAAACCAGGTTAATATACAGACGAGAAAACCGGGGCTCAGACAGGCAAAGTGACTTATAAACTGTGTGAGGTCACACAGCTAACGAGTGGCAGCCCCAGGATTTCAACCTAGGTTTGTCTGACCACAGTCTGTGCTTTCTTCCCCCCACCCCCCATCGAGGGGGCAAACACCTGGGTCCTTCCTAGAGCTGGTTTGGGAGGGAGAGAGGCTGGCCAGGGTCAGGGAAGGGGGCAGCGGGTAGACTTTGGTCCCTCTGACTGGCCTTGCCTGCTTCTTTCCTTCCTTCGCTGCGTGGTCAGGGCTCTGAGCCACAGGAGGGAGCATCGCGGCCTATTCTTATTCCAGTGTTGGGACCACCAGCCTGGACACCCATTTCAGAGCTGTTGGGGAGGCCAGGGCCACCGGACAGTGTCGAGGATCCTGACGAGGCCTTGGGAAAGTTTAGCTGCCCGGCACAACAGGGAGCCCCTGGAGCCTCCCATGAGTGTGTGCTTTGGGGGGCAGCAGTGGGAAGAGAGGGCATCTGGCACTGTGGCTCCTGGAGAAGCCACTGGAAGCCTGTGGTCAGCTGAGGTGTCAGGAATAGCAGAAAGGAGAAAGGAGAGAAAGGAGTCCTTTCTCTGCGCAGAGTTGGGGAGGTGGAACACATCTGTCTCGTTTAGCACCAAGCCTGACGCCTGGCACATAGTGAACACTCAGTGTTTGTGGAGTGAATGAATGAATGAGTGAATTGCTAATTGAGGTTATGTCAGGCTGGACTTTTCCACTTAGGCATTCATTCCTGAGAACTGAGTGTACGACCTTTCATTCTCCAACTCCTTGGCATCTGAACATAATCAGCCTTGCTGATTGTTGAGGCAATGAGCCACACCCTCCCAGGACCCTTGAGCCCACCAAGTGTGCCCTGTCTGTCTGTGGCCTGGGTAGAACAGTGTTGTCATGATCTAGGGAGGGATTGCACTAGTGGCCAAGGCTGCTTGGGCTCTGCCTCTGAGCTCTTGGCCAGTCACTGGGCTGTTGGAATTAGTGGGTAACAGGAACTCCTGCTGGAGTTTCAGCTGCAGCCATCACATGGCTTCTGCCTGGAGCTCCTGTCATCCCTGGAACCCTTGGGCAGCAGAGCTGGAAGGGTCCTTCAGGCATTTAGACCATACCTCATGTAAAGAGGGTGGAAAGTGAGGTGTAAAGAGGAATAGTGACTTGCCTAGGGTCACACAGCAAGATAATGACAGAGCAGGGATGAACGCAAACCCAGGTGTCACCAGCCAGCTCACACCTATGTTTGCTAGGTTAATTGGGACCCAAATAGAGACCACTCTAAGGCATTTGTTCAGTTACTCACTCAAGATCCTGGTGATGCCCGTGTCTCTCCACCTTGGCACTAGTGACCTCTGGGGCCAGATAATTCTTTACTGTGGTGGGCTGTGTTGTGTATTATAGGATGTTTAGTGGCACCCCTGGCTTCTACCCACTAGATGCCAGGAATATCCTTCCAGTTGTGACAACCGAAAGTGTCTCCATACATTGCCAAATGCCCTTCAGGGTGTAGAGGTTTTGGGCACTGGCTCTGGAGCCAGCCTGCTCCTTACGTACTGTGTGGCCTTGGACAAGTTACTTACCCTCTGTGTGCCTCAGTTTCCTCATCTGTAAAGTGGGGATAGCAACAGTACTTACCTCACAGGGTTATTGTGAGGGCTACATGAGTCAAAACCTGTAAGGCACTCACAGCGGTGCCTGGCAGCTAGTGGTTGTTGTGAAAGAGTTAGCTGTCGTCGTCACTGTCACCGTTGCCATTATTCCACTCCAGAGACAGATCCGGGGGCTAGAAACAGAGACGAATGGAACCCGGCCCCCATTTCTTCCTGCTCTGGGCTATGCCCAGGGGAGCCCCCTAGAAGGATCTACTGCAGCCCTGGGTGCAGGGCGGGGGCTGTAGTCAAGGGGTTCTTGAGCTGTCCCAGAAGACGGTGAGGAACTGAGCCAGGCAGAGAAGGGAGGAGACCACCGCAGGCAGAGGACATGGCGTGTGCAGAGACAGGGCGGCCTGAACTACTGTGAGATCCTCCAGAGAGCCCGTGCCACCCGCAACCTTCCTGTACATTCCCTGGTTCCCAGAGCACGTTGGGGGACCCTCCAACCCAAGTTAGAGGCTGGCTTCTTTGGGCCAATCCTCAGGGTCCCTTTGGTCAGCCTTGTCGCTGGGGACCGCACCTTTGAATAATGACAGCTCACGTTTATTACACACTGGCGGCGTGTTGTACTCAATGCTTTACTTGTACACAGAGTATTTCATTTTAACCCTCACTACAATTCTAGAAGTAGGTACTCATATTCTGCCCATTTTACAGATAAGTAAATAGACTCAGAGAGGTAAAGTAACTCGCCCAAGGTGAACTTGAACCGAGACAGCTGCCTCCAGATCTTGCATTTCTTTCTCGTCCTGTCTCGCTCTCTTCTCTTCTGTCTCTTTCTTGTTTCTCTTCTGGACTTCCTGTGCCGCTTACTTGAGTTAATCATACGCCTGTTTCTGATTAATAGCAACTGAGGTTCATGGTGCGTGGTCATGTAAGTCCCCTGTGTTCTCCTTTTGTTCCTGACCCCACTCTGCTCTCCTCCTCCCCTAAGTCCCCACTCTAATGAGTCGGTGTGTGTCCTTCCAATCCACGTTCTGCTTATTTTAAGTATTGGATATCCTTAAATGTATATAATATTCTCTGTGTTTTAAATCTACATAAATGGGGGCCGGCCTGTGGCTCACTCGGTAGAGTGTGGTGCTGATAACACCAAGGCCCCGGGTTCGGATCCCATATAGGGATGGCCGGTTCGCTCACTGGCTGAGCGTGGTGCTGACAACACCAAGTCAAGGGTTAAGATCCCCTTACCGGTCATCTTTTAAAAAAATAAATAAATAAAAATAAATAAATAAATCTACATAAATGGGATTGTGAATTGCTTATTCCTATTTTTTCACAAGGGGTGGGGGTGAGGAGGGATGATTTTCTTAATTTGAATGCTGTTTTTTAGAGTTCTGCTTATATAGACTACTGTTTAATAATCTCTTATTGGTTCCAGATATTTTTCTCCTGTCTGTTACCTGCGCCTAGAACGTTGTTCCCCGTGAATTCTTCCAGAGAGCTTTGGGCCACCTTTTCCTTTTGTGAATTCTTGGGTTCCCATCCATCCATTCATTTCCCCCCACAGGACTTGTGCTTTAG